AAAAAAAAAAAAAAAAAAAAAAAAAAAAAAAAAAGAAAAGAAAAAAAAAAAAACACAAGACATCATGATAGAAAACCTCAATTCATTTCAGGGTAAAACTATAAAACTAATATTTTTTTTTATTTTAAAGATTAGTGACTGAAAAAAGTAAAAATGTAACAAAAAATTTTAATATTAAAATAATAAAAACATATTAAACAACTCTTGGGCCAAAGGGTGAACACAAAGGGCTGCAATTTTTTTGAAAATGAGGACAGCAATATTAGGGTACAAAAGAATTTGTGGCATATGTCCAAACCAATTGTGAAGAGAAGTCCAATAATATTGAACACCCTTGGCAATAAAAATGAGTGGAAAATAGAATAGACTGTCTCTCAAAACCTCTAGGAAAAGAATGTGACAAAGTAAGTGAGGAAAAGAATTAATGGCAAGCCTTAAAAATGGAGCCATAGATACAGAATTGTAGATGAATTGTAATACAGAACGATGGTGCATTTATTACAACGAAGGCGTCAGTGTTGGTGCAACACTTTAATTAGTAAACTTTTGTTTACCTGGAGTTTAGTCCTCCCAACGTTATTTCCCCAAATGAACTCTCTATTCTGAGATCTAACCTAGGCTTCCACGTTTGTTTGACTTTGACATCCTTATAACAGTCAGCGATGCGAGGGAGGATAATTGTGGGTGCTTCCTGAGTGAATATTGTGGCGCTGATTTTACAAAGAGCAGGAAGTGAGAGAGTGTTCACAGTCAGCCAGAGGGAAGGAGCAGCACGGAAAATATTGGTACAGTGAGCAGACCTCTGGATGGCATTTTCTGTTTGTGATGACTTGTTTTCTGAAATTCTTGAATTTAGTGTCCTTTAGTTGTTGTTTTATATTGGTTTGGTTTTTCAAGACTAGAGTTTCTCTCTGTAGCCCTGGCTGTCCTGGAACTCACTCTGTAGACCAGGCTGGCTAAGATCCATCTGCCCCTGTCTCCCAAGTGCTGGGATTAAAGGTGTGAGCCACCACTGCCTGGCTGAATTTACCATCTTATTAATACAAATTCATGAAATTTGTATAGGCATAAGTTTCAACTGAACATTAGCTTTTAACCGTTTTAAATCAGGTGGTCTGTAAGGAATTACATCCAGTAGTTAGTAAGAGATTCTTAGCAAACGTGAGTTGCGTATTTATTCTCTGTTGCAGAAGATATTCTCCAGAGGAGACAGGCCTCTTCTGGTGTAAAGCTATCAAGGAGCCAGGCTGCTTCTGTGCTTTATTTGGTGACATTAGCAGGTAGTTTTCATGGTAAGAGGAGGAGAGTAGTCCTCTTAGTTGAGTCAGTGCCCCTACAAGAGATGCTTCTACACAGCTTCTGAACTTGCCTCCTTAGTCAGATAGCCCTAGAAGCAGAGGAATCTGGCCTATTGCTAACCTAAGTAAAATGTGTATATTATTAAAGAAAGGGAAAATGAGTATGGTTGTACCCCAGCGATAGAACTGTCTAGAATGAGGATGATACCATACCGGAGTGTTTGGGCTGTGTGGAGGTGGGTGTTTTAGTCAGTGTTCTGTTGTGTGAAGAGACACCATTACCACAGCAATCCTTATAAAAAAAAAAAAACATTTAATTGGGTCTGGCTTACAGGTCAGAGTCCAGTCATCATGGCAGGAAGCATGCTGGCACACAGGCATACATGTTGCTGGAGAGGTAGCTTAGAGGTCTACATCTGTATCCTCAGGCAGCAGGAAGAGTAAGGACACTGGGCCAGACTTGAGCATTTGAAACCCCAAAGCCCACCCCGGTGACACACTTCCTCTAACAAGGACACACCTGCTCCAACAAAGAGTGCCACTCCCTAAGCATTTAAATATATGAACCTATGGGGGCCATTCTTGTTCAAACCACCACGTGATAGTAGATGTTCTTCAGTCATACCGCATGTGTGTCAGTGTGAGTCATTTTATGGCTAGTGGTTAACCTCTTTTGGTCATGACAGTAGCAACATTTGTCTTACCTGTCACCAGTGTAGGCCATCAGTGGAAATGGTATTTATTGCCTTGCCACATGTCTGCCTCTGCCTTTCTTCAAGTTTCTTAATTTTTTTTTTATTGAGAATAAGAAAAAAAAGGTTTCCGCCTCCTCCCAGCCTCCCATTTCCCTCCCCCTCCCCCCAAGTTTCTTAATTTTGACAAGGGAAGTTGCTTTACTCTAAAGACCAGGCCTCGTCAGCTGTCTCAGTCCTGTAGTGAGCTCGTTCTGATTTAGACCTGAAGTCTAGGTTAATACAGATATGGTGGCCTTTGTTATTCTCACTGTGATTCCCTCTAGCATTGCAATATGAAGAATTCTAAAGTTCAGAAAAGCTGAATTATTCAGTGAGTATTCCTATTGGCCATACCTAGACTCCATACTTACTGTGTTCGTTCTTTCTATGGCACTGCAGTCATGCCAGTCAGTGCTTGAGACCAGTCCCAGTGCTCTGGGATTGCTAGGCAAGCACTCTGTCGGAGAGCTGGGTCCTCAGCGTATCATTTATTCTACTTTTGAATATGGCTTGATCTTCTGTCCACCTGGAAGAGATGGAGATCACCAGAGCTGCCTAGAAGACTGAGAAACCGAGCTGCCTGAAAGAGACGCTCTGACCTGTTGAGCTGTCTGTAGTCTGTGCTGTGAGCTCCAGGTTTCTTGCTTTTGTGTGCTGTTGCCCACATTGACAGCTTTGTGAGGGGCTGCCTGTGAGTCATTTCTGTTCCTGTCAGGAGCCCCAATAAAACTCACTGGTTCACCAAGTTGAACTTTGGTGGTTCCCTTACTTTGGTCTGTCCTAAGTTCCCAATCTGGGATGAGTAGACATTGATTGGTCTTCCCAGGAATAGTGTCTTACAACACAACTTGAAGTCCTGACCCTTCCACCTCTACCTCCCAGTTGTTGAGGTGACAGTTGTGCATCTGTCACTGACTTTTAATTGACCTCCTGGAATCAACCTATTTCCCTTTACTCTGCTATCAGTTAAGCCAATAGAGTCATTTATTGAAGTATGTGTCATTTCATATGTCATTGCTGTTGTCAGAACACTTCTAGTAAAGGCTCACCTGTGAACTGAGGGGCTGGAGAGGTATGTGTGTGGAGGTCAGAGGACAGCATAGGAGTCAGTTCTCTCATCCACAATGTGGATTCCAAGACCAAACTCAGACTCCCTACCTGTTAAGACATCTCACCTGCCCCTGCCCCTCAGCTGGTTTTTTTTTTTTTTTTTTTTTTTTTTTTTNAAAAGAAAAGAAAAGAAAAGAAAAAGGTTTTATATTGCCACCCAAACATATCAGATCAATATCTGATCACAAACAATATACCTGATATAAGAATTGGTTCTTTTTTTTGTGTGTGTATGGTTTTTCAAGACAGGGTTTCTTTGTAGCTTTGGAGCCTGTCCTGGAACTAGCTCTTGTAGACCAGGCTGGCCTCGAACTCACAGAGATCCATCTGCCTCTGCCTCCCGAGTGCTGGGATTAAAGGCGTGCACCACCACCACCCAGCTCGACTTGATGTTTTGCAAAGAGTTTGTATCTAACACCCAAGCTAGCATCTCACAAATGCCTGCAACTCCAGCTCCAAGGGATCTGATGCTCTCTTCTGACCTCCACAGTCACCTGCACACACCTGGCATACACATATCACTTGTGAACTGGAGTTTTCCAGGGAGGAAAAAAGCCAAACCTGTGTGAAAGATTATCCAAGGCTTCTGACTGACTAGAATTTCATGAAAAGAACAGAGACATGTCATTTGTTCAATGTCTTTTTACGCTAGACACTGGTTTGGATAGCTTGTAGCATCTTTTCTAGTTTAAATGGTGAAGTAATTGGGAAACTAGTGAGTAGAAAAAGATCATGCATGGGTTTCCTGGCCTTTGAAGGAAGGCATCCGCTCATGTGTCATGCTCTGCACAAGAACACCAGTTCAGGCTGGCTCTCTAGAGGTGTCTGGCTCACCCTCTAGCTGGGGTTGATAGCCAAGTTGTTGCCACTGTAGCTTTCTGCAGCCATAGTGGCAGCCTCCCGTTCTCTTCACCCTCCAAGACCTTGCAAAGCAACTGTGAACCTGAGAATGCCAAAGGCTCCACTTCTCTGCTATTGCCCATTGGTGACAATTGAGTTGTCATCTCATGCCCAAACTGTTTCTAAACCTAAGGAAAACCCAGAAATTAATAATAGTGTAAAAGCAGCATTCTTCTTTGAGGTCTTGAAGATTGGATCCAGGATATTGTTATGTAAGTGCTTTACCACCCTGAAACGATTGTAGAATGTGTGTGTGTTCTGTATTAGGGATTGTACCCAGAGCCAGGCAAATGTTCTGCCATTGAGCTATATCCTCAGTTTATTCATGAGTTTTTTGTTGTTTTGTGGAGTTTTTTTTGTTTGTTTTTGTTCTTTTTTTTTTTTTTTACATTTATCTTTTACTTACTTGGTTGGGTGGGGGACATGCTCTCTAGGTGCATATATGGTGGTCAGAGGACAACTTGGGATAATCTTCTTTTCTTTACCATGGGGTCCTGCCTATCCAGCCCAGGTTGGTGGTAAATGTCTTTATCCCTTGTTATTAGGGTTCCTATTGCTGTGATGAAACACCATGTCAAAAAGCATCGGGGAGGGATGGGTTTAATTGGCTTATGCTTCTTTATTGTTTATCACTGAAGGAAGTCAGCACAGGAACCCAAACAGGATAGGAACATAGAGTCAGGAACTGATGCAGAGGCCACGGAGACGTGCTGCTTACTGGCCTGCTCTCCACGACTTACTTAATTTGCTTTCTTACAATTGCCCAGGACCACCAGACCAGGGGTGGCCCCACCCACAGTGGGCTGGACCCTCCCACTTCAATTGTTAATTAAGAAAATACCCTACAGGCTTGCCTACAGCCAATCTAGTGAGGTACTCTAGCTTGTGTCAAGTTGACATTAAACTGGCCATCACACTCACTCCATGACTTCTGAAGGTAAAACTCTGTAAGTTGTGAACAAACACAGGCCTATCCAGGATGTGCCAGCCTTGCTCAGGTACTGTGAGCTGCAAAAGTGTTACTGTAGACTTTCGGGTGTATTCATGTAGACACATAACGAACTATCTTAACCTTTGGTTGTAAGAATCAATGAAAACTTTAGTTTTGTACAAATTTTTTATTCTTTCTGAAAGAACAGTAAACTAGTATTTTATGCATATAGTTTCAGAAAGCATTAATATGAATAAAGCAGATATGCCAAGATGTTAACTGTGATTAATTCTGGGTTATGGGTGGGAATAGGTAGTAATAGGGTGATTGACTGTACTTTTCTTTGAACTCATCAGGACTTTTTTTTTTTTTTTTGCTCTTAGTTAAAAGTAAATAATTAAGTAGCAGTAATGCTTCGTGGTTAAGTGACAGATCGGCTGTATTCTGGTTAAAGATTAAATCTGAGAAACAAGAAAACTCTACAAAGGGAAAAAACCTGAATTTAGTTTTACCCATTTGATACAAAAACACTAATCAGGATAATGTTCTACTTAAGGAAAAAAGACACTCTTTACATTTATGTGCGCCTGCTTTATTTGGACTGGACAGGATACAAGTAGGAAAAAAGTCTCCTATTTTCAGTATTGTCTTGGCTTTCAACAGCAGTTGCCGGGGAAACACTTTTGTTTCTTGGTCACATGATCTGGACATGCTTTTTGTCAGTGGCTGGTTGTAAGTTTGTAGACCAAAGAGCTCTTAGTAACCTTGGCAGTTAGTCAGCGTGCTGTCCTGAATAGAAAATGGGCCAGAGGGCCAATGTGCAAAGTCTTTCTAGTGGGGAAATGACTAAAAAAGAAAGCATACAGGGGCAGGTAGGCGTCATTTCTCAGGGAAAGAAGTTTATTTAATATTAAAATTATCTTGCCATTTTTATACTGTTGCTTCTAAAACCTTGCTATTCCATATGACTCTTTCCTCATAGCCTCTAACTGTTATTATAAACTATCTTAACAGAGAAAGTAGAAGGATAGTATGATAAATACTCATGAAGCCTACCATATGGTTTATTTAATTTTTGAAATAGATCTTACTATGTAGCTCTAGCTGGCCTGGAACTCTGTCATCTCACTAGCTCACTAGACCCCATATATTTTAGAATAAATCCCCGCCCCCACAAGACACAGTTCCTCTGTGTAGCATGTGTAGCATTAGAGCCTGTCCTGCAGACCAGGCTGACTTTGAACTCACAAAAGATCTGCCTGCCTCTGCCTCCTGAGTGCTGGGTTTAAAGGTATGCGCCGCCACCACCTAGCTAGAATAAACTTTTCTATATCCATAAAATTTTTTGGCAATTGATTGGAATTGTGTTAAACCTACATGCTAAATTTGAGGAGAACTGATATTTGTACTATCTTGTGTAACCACACCCCTGAGTAAAAATGACTCTTCCTCACCTAGCAACCATCAACTGCCAATAGCTCCTCAGCTAGAGATGGGAGCTCAAGCTGTAACTGGGCAATGGTGCATGCCTTTAATCCCAACACTTGGGAGGTAGAGACAGGCGGATCTCTGCAAGTTTGAGGCCAGTCTGGTCTACAGAGCAAGTTCCAACACAGCCAACGCTACACGGAGAAAGTGTATCTCAACCCCCCACCCCCGCAAAAAAGAGAAGAGATATTTTGGCTTGCTCTTGTGCAGGTAAGCACACCCACTGTGAGTTCATGGGTGCAGTGTTGTGTCCTGTCTGGAAAACAGCACTTCACAGTACAGCTCCCTATCCTCCAGCTCTTAGTCTTTCTTCCTCTTCTGTGATGTTCACCAAGCCTAGTTGGGGTGGTCGTGGGGTTCCTACGAATGTCCCTTTTAGTAACTCACAGCCACCTGTTTTATTCTCAGCATTTTGACCAGTTGTGAGCTTCTACAGTAACCACTAACCCAGTGTGAAAAGAAGCTTCTTTGAGCAAGGTTGGGAGGAACATTGCTCTGTGAGTGTAAACAAATACTTAGAAAGCAGTTTGATGACTTCCAGTCAAGAATACAATAGTACTAGGTTTCCCCTGGTTCCTGTGACCACCGCAGCCAAGGGCTTTGGGCCAAATTTACAGTACCAGGCATGGATTTCCTTGTGTGGAGCAGGCCTCAAATCCAGTTATAAGGTGGCTGATTAACCCATAACATTCATGATATTATTATTATACCAGTGGGCACATCTTGCCTGGAAGGTTGTTATTGTAGCAGGGGCCGGTGTTGGGTATAGCCACTGATGTCTTTCTCCTCTGGAAGCCTGTATAACATATTCCAGCACCATGAAAGTTGACCATCAGAGAGAGAGTTCACTAGTCAGTTCCAGATGTATTTCTCTGTCCTGCAGTGAGAATGTGGGATGTCTTCTGCAGTAGGGTTTTTTGTTTGTTTGTTTGTTTTCAGAGAGAGAGAGAGAGAGAGAGAGAGAGAGAGAGAGAGAGAGAGAGAGAGAGAGAAAGAAAGACTCACTCTCATTGTGAGTCCTGGTAGGCCTGGAACTCACTATGTAGACCAAGCTAGCCTTGAACTTGAAGAAATGTACTTACCTCGGCCTACAAAGTTGGGATTAAAGGCACGCACCACTGTGCCCAGCCTGAAATATATTTTGTGGAATTTTTCATGTGCATATTTTGTCTTTATGTGTTTCTATGCATCACATGTGTGCTTGGTTGCTCACGGAGGCAAGAACAGCATGTCAGATCCCTGAACTGGACTTATATATGGTTATGAGCCACCATGTGGATGCCTTAAACTCAAATCCCCTGAAAAGCAGACGGTGTTCTTATTACTGAACCATCTCTCCAGCTCTTTACTCTCTGTTTTTGGTAGACAACCAAGAGCAGTGGCAATACCCTGTTTTGTTTTGGGGAGCCTTTGGAGCCTCCCTGATCAATAACTTATAGGGTAGGATCCATGCCTAGTACTGGATTTTCATCTAATAGCCCATGTCTTCTGGGAGCAGCATTGTCCATCCTTGCAGGGTACCTCCTTTCATCTCTTTTTAAGTCATATTTTTCAAGAGGGGTGTGTGTGTGTGTGTGTGTGTGTGTGTGTGTGTGTGTGTGTTGTACCATTTATGTACAGGTGCCCCAGAAGGCCAGAAGGGGGCATTGGATCCCCTGGAACTGAAATTACAAGCAGGTGTAAGTGGCCAAAGTGTGTGCTGGATTCTGGACCTGCATCTTGGGAACTGAACTCTGGTTCTTTGGAAGAGCAGCAAGTGCTCTTAAATACTGCCATTTCTCCAGTCCCTTAAGTCATAGTTTAAAATGACACAGTAGTGGGTTTCCATGAGAGTTTTTTTTTTTATAAATCCTTAGTTTTGATTAACCCACCCCTACTCCTTTCTCTTTCCTCACAACCCTACCCCCAACCTACTTAAACCTTAAACTTCCCATGTTCTCCCCTCTTCCTTCATAGCACCTGTTTTCTACCATTCCCTCCCCAGTTCAAGCTTCTTGCCCACCTCCTCACCCTTTCTGGTATCTTGACCTCTGCAAGTATTGTAAGTTAAATATAAAAATCTAAAAATTTGAAGCTAAGTTCTGGGGCAGCGCCGATCTTGCATTGCACCCGAGTTCAGTTCCTAGTACCACCATTGAGTGGCTCACAACCATCTTTAACTCCATCTCCAGGGGGATCCTGTGCCTCTGACCTCTGTGGGTACTTACATGCATTTACACATAATTAACATTCTTTAAAAAGGAAAAGAAAACTCAAAGCTGGAACTGCATGTAATAGAGACATGCAGTGTGTGTCTTTCTGGGCTTAGATTAGCTCATTGTTATATTTTCCAGCTCCATCTGTTTTCCTGAAATTTTCATAACTTCGTTTTTTACAGATGAATAAAATTCTATTATGTGTATTATCACATCTTTATTATCCATCAGTTGATGGGCATTTAACCTGATTCCATTTCCTAGCTATTTTGAATTGACAGCAATAAACATCGATGTGCCAGCATTTCTGTTGTAGGATATGAGGTCCTTTGTGTAGATGCTCAGGAGTGCTAAGGCTAGGCCATATGGTAGTTCTATTTTTATCTTTTTGAGAAGCCGCCACACACCATTTACCATAGTGTGTGCACCTGTCTATACCCCTACATGCATATATCCCTGCCAACTAGTAAATAGGGGTTACTGTTTGCCACATGCTTGTCAGCACTTGTGATTTGTTTTCTTAATGAAAGCCATTATGACTGGGGTAAAATGGAATCTCAAATTAGTTTTAGTTTGCATTCCTAATGGTTAATGATACTGAACACAAAAATGTTTGTGGTGGGGTGTGGGCAAAGACCTGGAGGTGGTGAAGGATCAGGCTTGACCATGACATTGGGTACTCATCTTTGGGGTTACTGAGAAGGAATAGAGGGAGATAAGAAGGCAGAAGAGTCCATAGAGATTTTATTGTTTAGGAATACATGTTTCCTTACACTTTGCCTGGGTGCAAGAAATGTCCCTTCTGCCAAAGGAGTAATAGCTCTCTAGAAACCAAGTGTTTCTCCTGTGCCAAGATTCCATGAGGGTGGTCAAATGGATGAATTGGAGCTGAGTTTGTTGAACCATTTATGTCAATTTTTGTTTGTTACTTTTGATACAGACTGGTAAAGACCAAAATTAACCTAAATCAGCATGGAAACTTGTCTTTCAGATCCAACAAAAGTAAAAAGGCGTTGGGAATTCTTGAATCATCTCCTGATTGATTATGAATGGGGCCTTGGTGTCATCCTTCACTGAACCAAAGAGCCACTGACAGTCTGGTTTATAATCAGTAGTCCAGATAGTCTTTAGACCACTTATACATAATCATCTGGTCCAGAAAATGGAGGAGAAGGCTATGGTTCTGATTAAAGAGACTAGTATCAGCGTCCGGACCTAACAAAGCCATCCCTCCTGCGTGTGCCTTTTAGGGATTTTCATGCAATGCTACACTCAGGAAACTCTTGTTCTGTTACAGCTGCAGCCGTCTCCGCCAGGTTCAGAGCATCCTGACACAGAGCAGCAAGTCTCAGCCTGATGGGATTCTCTGCATCCTAGGTCAGTGCTTTCATGAAGTGGGACTCACAGTGGCAGTGGTTTGCATTCTTGATCTCAGGAAGATAATAATAATAATAATGCTATCATGGAAGGTACATTGTAGGGTAGTGTCTTCCCAGTTCTCTTCCCTGTGAAATCTCCTGTTCTATTGTGGGTGAATATTAAAAGAGATGTCAGTGAGATAAGGAGCTCCTGCTGCAACCATTCTTTCTAAAATCATATAGGCAACAGCTACTGACCCTGACCCTGCCATCCTGCACATGGCTGTAGGCCCAGGATGCCTCAGACATTGAGAGGCAGTGGTAAAGACAGTGTCATTTAATTTCTTTTGTCTCTGGTCACACCTTTCTAGATAACCTTAGTGAGGGCCATCTGCAGGAGCATATATCACCACACCACACTCAGAGTGCCTCCCTTCTGATGCTTGTGAAGGATTAGGGTTTATTGTTCCACCCTCTTCATCTTTTTCAAACCACCGATCACACATTTTTCATAAAGATCTCTTTGAGATCTGTTCTTGGGCTAACTGAAAGTATCCCAAGATCTTTAGTAAGTCACTAGAAGACCATATTTGCTGGTTTTTTCTGCCCTGAAGAATTGCTTTTTATGGGGCTGGAGATGTCTAAGTAGTTAAGAGCACTTGATGTTCTTCCAAAGGACCCAGGTTCGATTCCCAGCACCCACATGGTGACTCACAACCATCTGTAATTCCAATTCTAGAGGACCTTATGTATCCTGGAGGGTGCTCTTCTTGCCTCATTGGGCATCAGGCATACATGGTACACACACATACATGTGGGCCAAACACTTATATATGTAAACTAAAAACCAAAAGAAAAAAATGTTTTTCAGAAATCAACAGCCTTAGTAATATTTGTTACTTAATTCTCCCATCTATGTAGGCATTGGGATCCAAGAAAGGTATCTTATGGTTCAGCCTGTTTCTTTAACAAGGGGTTGTTTATTTAGTTTTAGCTCAAAACTGGTTTGAACTGCCTGAAGCCATGAGGGCTTTATCAGTGGCGTTTATTGTGTTCCATGGTTTAAGACAGCTAGTCACAGCCTTCCTTGCCTTGCAGGAATTGACAGCAGGTACAACGAAGGCTGCAGGGAGCTGGCCAATTACCTTCTGCTCGGATTATACAGTCAGAATACCACTGATTTTGAGAAAACAGGATTTTCTGAAGAAATTCTAGATGGTAAGTCTGTATTATATTGGCAAATGGTAGGAGAGAGTGGTTTATTTCTTTGGATCCTTAATTCATGATTTTTTAAAAAAAAAGTTTTAATTTTAATTTATTGTGTGAGTGTTTTATTTGCATGTTTGAATGTGCACCTTGTGTATGCTTGGTGTCCTTGGGCCAGAAGAGGACATTGGATCTGGAACTGGAGTTACAGGTGGTTGTAAGCCAACATTCAGGTGTTCTCTGGTTGAAACCCAGTCCTCTGGAAGAGTAGCAAGTACTTTAACTGCTAAGCCATCTCTCCAGCTCCAATTCATGGGCTTTTGTTTCTGTGGGGTTTTTTGTTTCGGTTTCTGTTTTTGTGGGTTTGTTTGTTTGTTTGTTGTTTGTGACAGAGTCTTGTGTAGCTCTAAATATCTTGAAGCTGTGTAGACAAGGCTGACTTTGAACTGACATTTACCTGCCGCTGCCTCCCTAGTGCTGGAATTAAAGACATACACTCATCACCCCATGCATGATTTTTTAATGGGAAAATGTGGTTGAATTTTAAGTAGTTCAGTGCTCTGGTAAATTCTTGCCTTATTTTGCTTTATTGGCTGAATGATGTGTGACATCCTAATTAGTCTTAAAATGGGCAACCCTCTTGTTGAAATAGGGAGCAGCGGCGGGGCTGCGTCCCCAACACCCCGGCCGCTTGGCTAGCTCATGCCCGAAATAACAACACACAAGCTGTATTCATTTAAAGAACTGCTTGGCCCATGAACTCTAGCCCTTACAGGCCAATTCTCGCACCTGGACTAGCCCATTTCTAATGATGTGTGTAAGCACCCCAAGGTGCGCTTACCGGGAAGATTCTAGCCTCCATCCATGGTGTCCGGGAGCAGAGCAGAGTCTGACCTCCCTTTCTCTTCTGCCCAGAATTCTATTCTGTTTATTCCTCCCACCAATGCTTTAACCTATGAGGCCAAGCAGTGTGTTTATTACTTAACCAATGAAATCAACAGATTGATATATGACACTCCCACATCACCCTCTGACCTCAGCCTCCCCAGTAGCTAGTATTAACTACTGATAAGATTTTGTCTTTTTAATAGTGAAAAGTTGCATTTCCTAATTGACCTATTAAGTAATATATTCTGTTGGTCACACACTGCATAACACACTATCAACAAGCAGGTTCCAGAATACATTTATTGGGTAAATCATCTTCGAGACCAAAAGCTGACATCAGGGTTTGGCATTCTTTCTTGGCAGTGCACTAGCTTTTCTTACTATTGCCTGCTGCTGCTTTTCACCGAAGGTTTAGATTGTGTGCTGTTGCCCACTGAAAGCACTTCGAGCTTTGAGGCAAGGCTGATTTGTTCTTGTAAGCTGCTCTTGTGAGGAAGAACACTTCGTGTGGATGGTTAGCTGAGGAACAAGGGCCTATTGTCCTGCTGTCCTTGGGAATTGTTTTTCGTGTGACTTTATACAATGCAGGCTTTCTGCCTGCAGTCTGCCTTCTCTGGCTTGGAGACACTGCGTGTGTTGATGCTGCTGTGGGCTGTTGCCCAGGAGCTATCTCTGATATCATATATTTAGCATTATAAATTGTCTGCGAGATGAGTCAGAAGACCTACACCAAACAAGTGAAACTGGACAAGAGACAAGACGCTTTTGCAGGGCAGCTGGGGAGGGCATGAAAGCAAACATTTGATGTCAGATGATCTCACTTGAGTATAGTGGTTCTCAGCTGGGGGGCAGTTTTGTCCCTTGGGGGACATTTAGCAATGTCTGAAGACATTTTTGATGGTCATGGTTTGGACCATGGTACTACTGGCATCTAGTGGATACCAGGGCTGCTGCTAACATCTCAAAATGCACAAAAAGCCTCAATTCCATGGTGAAGAATTATCTGACTTAAACTAATTCTTAGTCACAGACTGTTTGAAAATTCTGTCAGGCTAAAGTCCCCAGTACTGTCGGTTCATAGTTTAGTCAAAGCTGTCCTTGTTACGAATACAGAAAAAGCAGACTGAAATTACTCTTTTTGTTAATATCCTTTCTTTCTTTTCCTTCCTTCTTTCATCTTTCCGTCTGAGGTAGGTGCTCTCTCTGTACTCAGACTGGCTTCAGATCCACAGTGCTTCCAGCCTCCTGGGTGCTAGGTTTACATGCATGAGCCACCACTGTTATCTTCATCAGTTCTTTTTCTTTTTAATTTTTGATATTAAAATAAAATTATAACATTTTCCCTTCCCTTTCTTTCCTCTAAACAAGTGGTTCTCAACCTGTGTGACCCTTTTTGGCAACCCTCTACCTCCAAAAAACATTTACATTATGATTCATAGCAGTAGCAAAATTACAGTTATGAAATGGCAAATGAAAATAATTTTATAGTTGGGGTTTACCACAACATGAGGAACAACTGTATTAAAGAATCCTAGCCTTAGGAGGGTTGAGAACTACTGCTCTAAACCCTCATATGTCCTTCCCCCTCCCTTCAAATTCATGGCCTCTTTTTAAATTATTATTGAGTACATATACATATATATTCCTGCATATAATCTTCTCAGTCCATATAATGTCACTTGTACATATGTTTTTAGGGCTAACCATTTGTCTCTGGACAACTAGTTGGTGTGCTCTTCCCTGGAAGGCCACCTCTCCTTCTTCCAGTGTTTCTCAGTTGCCTGTAGTTTTTTGTGTAGAGTTGAGGCTTCAAGGGCTTTTCTCTGTCCACTTAGACATGTCCATTGGTAACGTCCTTGCTCAACTCATGTTTGGGTGGTCATATTGGTGAGACTTTTATGGATGTAGCTTCTGACATTACAATTATTTTTTAATTCATTTGTTTGCTTATTTGTTTGTTTCAGATTTTGATTTAAAATTACTTGGCCAGGCCAGGTGTCTCAAGCCTTTCATCCCAGCATTTGGGAAACAGAGGCAGGTGGATCTCAGTGAGTCTAAGACTGGTCTGGCCTACAGAGTGAGTTCCAAGACAGGCAGGGCTTGAATAAAATAAAATTTCTTTCAGGGGGCTGGAGACAGGACTCAGTGGTTAAGAACATTGACTGTTCTTCCAGAGGACCTGGATCCAGTTCCCTGTACCCATATGATGACTCAGCTGTCTACAGCTCCAGTCCCAGGGGATCAGAGGCCCTCGACTGGCCTCTCTGCATGTACCAGGAATACAAGTGAGACACAGACATACATGTAAGCAAAACACCCATACAAATAAGATAATGTAAACATCTCAAATATAAAATATCTTCCCTGCCGGGTGATGGTGGCACACGCCTTTAATCCCAGCACTCAGGAGGCAGAGGCAGGCGGATCTCTGTGAGTTAGAGACCAGTCTGGTCTACAGAGCTAGTTCCAGGACAGGCTCCAAAGCCACAGTGAAACCCTGTCTCGAAAAACCAATAAAATAAAATAAAATAAAATATCTTCCCTTAAATGTAGTGTTCTGGTCAGAATTTATTTTGGAAGCTTGTACTTGCTATACATTTCACTGCAACCATAGTTACAAGGGACCTATCAGTACTAAAATTAAGGAAAGTGCTTAATTCCTAAAGATGTGTTTTTTCTTTTTCTTGTTTTTTTGGCTTTATCCTGTCATTTGTCACAGTGGATACTTAGCAAATAAGCGTTTTTCTCCAAATTAATCAAGTCATTTTTATATCCACATAGTTTGAAAGCTAAAATCACCAGATTGTTGCTGCTGCTGTTTCTCCTTCCCCTCCTTTCTCTTCTCCCCTCCTTCTCCTATCCCTCTTCCTCCTCCTCCTCCTCCTCCTCCTCCTCCTCCTCCTCTTCTTCCTCTTCCTCTTCCTTTTTTAATTTTTGAAGCAGAGCTTCACGATGTAGTCCTGCTGTTCTGGAACTTGTTATGTAGGCCACACTGGCATCAAACTCAGAGAAGTCGAATTCACAGAGATCCTCCTGCCTCTGTTTCCTAAGTGCTAGGACTAAAGGCACAGGCCACCACAACTAGCATGCTTCTACCTTTATGAGCATAAAAAGGCCAATATGAGATACTTATTTTTCAGACATTTTTCAAAAATATTAAACATAATTTTATTACTATTACTACATAATCGACGATGACAGGTTCTCTTTATGTAGCTCTGGCCATCCTGGAACAGACTGTGTAGACTATGCTGGCCTCAAACTCACAGAATTCTGTGATTAAAAGCTTGTTCTACTACACTGGCCAGCCCTACTATCCCTTGTCCTTTCCTCCTCTTCCTTGTCCTCCTGCTTCTTCTCATTCTCCTGCTTGCTGTCCTTTTGGAGGGATTTTTTTTTCACACCAGTGTCTATTTAAATCAGGGTGTCATCCTTGAACTTGAATCATAAGCATGTGCCATGATGTCCAGCTTCCCTGCTTCACTCCTCCTCCTCCTCCTCCTCCTCCTCCTCCTCCTCCTCCTCCTCCTCCTCCTCCTCCTCCTCCTCTTTCTTCTTTTGAGGTAGAATCTGGCCATCCTGGAACAAGTCACTGCGTGTAAAGACCATTCTGGCCTTGAACTCACAGAGATTCTCATACCTCTGCCCCCACCCCCATTGCTTGGATTAAATGATTAAAGTCACCACACCTGACCATATTTTCTTCTTTATTTGTTTAATTCTGTTAAATATCAGTCTATTGAGAGTATGAAATTTGTTAGCAATTGTTATATTTGTGGGGTTTTTGTTTTGGTTTGGTTTTGGATCCTAAGTCCTTAGGATACACTTCAGTGTATAGTATGTGTGGTGTATAGTGAATCGTATGTGGTGTATGATGGGTGCCTCACGTTTTCAGGTATCACAAAATTTCTCCCTTAGCAGGTAGTCTACAGGGCTCTGGGGGTGGTGGGATGTGAGGAAACCCAGTACTGAGACATAAGAGAGGCTTGTTTCTTCCTTTGCATTTTTCTTCCAGCAAGTCCTAGCTTAGTCTTGTTAGAAAGAGGTCTAGTGAGTGGCACCGCCGTCACAGGAGCCATGGAATGAAGCCTGCTTTTCTTTTGGAATTATGCCGACTTTTACTTTCCATGCCCAGACTACGTTAGTAATTCTGCCCTATTCCATTACTCTCTCTCAGGGATCTTGACTTTGCCTGGGTTTCTTTGCACCCTTGGGATTTCCTTATTTACTTGATCTACCAATGTTGATGACTGTTCTAAATCTGCTGTCTGTTGGTATGTTTCCAGAAGCTCTTTCACTTGCCTGCATTTCCTTCCTTCCAGCCTTTCCTGTGTGCAGAGTTCACTGCTGCACACAGTAACCTTTTCTAAGACTGACAGGCAGTGTCCAGACTCACAGTTGCCTGGAGCCAAGTGAACCTTTGCCCAGGAATTTTAGACACTGGTTTTAGTGTGTAGTCCCTGCTGTTGGTGCTGTTTCTTGACTCAGTAGCCCTGTAATTTCCATTTTATACTTATCTCCTCGTTGAAGTATTTTGTAAAGCCAGGTGTGGTGATGCATATCTGAAGTCCCAGCGCTTTGGAGACAGAGGCGAGGAATGTTGTAAATTCAAGGCCAACCTGGTCTACACTGTGAATTCCAGATCAAGCCAGGTCTGTGTAGCCTGGAAAAGAAGCCAGGCCTGGTGGTACAGTTCTGAAATCATAGCTGCTTGGGAGGCTGAGTCAGCATTGATCAAGGCCTCCCTGTGCCGAGTACTGAGTGGAAGGCCAGCTGAGGCAATTTAGAGTGATGAGTGCCTGCCTAGGACCTGTGCAGCTCTAGCTCAACAACCTTCAGTATGCAGCAGCTGTCATCAGTTAATCGGAAATAAAGAAGTAACACAGTACTGCATCTCTGGTTTGTTGAACTTTGAGTGCACTGCTTCAGCTAATGAAGCCTGCTCTTTTGGCTTATTCTGGGCATACAGTCATATCTAGAAGGCCATCATAGGAGGAGCGTTGCAGCAACACTAGAAAATCCTTACTGTCCACACTTGACCCTGCTTGGTTAAATAATTATACATTTAGACTTTTGTTACATTGTTTCTGAAATAGCTGTATGTTTTGGTTTGGGGATTTGTTTGTTTGTTACAATAGAAATGAACCCAGGGCCTGGCCATGCAACTCTGAATTACTGAACTACAATTCATTAGGCATTAGTGGAAGTTACTATTTTCTGGGCAGAAACTGTCTGAAGGGAAAGCCTTTGACAATTTTGTGTTTTGCTTTTTTCTTACAGATGTGATTATATTGATTAAATCAGATAGTGTCCATCTGTACTGTAATCCTATCAACTATGGATACCTTTTGCCTTATGTAGCACATTGGAGAAACCTGCATTTCCACTGCATGACCGGAAATGAGGTGAGGAGGGAAGACAGGCTAAGTACTTCATTCAGCAAAGTGTCAACTTAGACCAGAAGCCCCTCAGCAAACATCACAGATCCAGCATTAGAATCTGGTCACACAAAAATGAATATTCAAGAAAAAAGCTTTTTAGTTGTTTA